GAGGCCAGGCTGGTCTCGAACTCCTGACCTCAGGTGATCCACCTGCCTTGTCCTCCCAAAGTGCTGGGATTACAGGCATGAGCCACCATTCCCGGCCAATGTGTTTGCACTAAGTATTATTACAAAAGAGTAAAAAACTTTTTTAAAATTAAAAAGCTCATAGAGTTAAAAAGATACAGTAAGCTAAAATTTATTTATTATTGAAGAAAGAAACATTTTATGTATTTCTTTATTTTTGAGATGAGTCTCGCTCTGTTGCCCAGGCTGGAGTGCAGTGGCATGATCTCAGCTCACCGCAAACTCCAGTTCCTGGATTCATGCGATTCTCCTGCCTCAGCCTCCTGAGTAGCTTGGAGTACAAGCATGCACCATCACATCCAGCTAATTTTTGTGTTTTTAGTAGAGAAAAGATTTCGCCATGTTGGCCAGGCTTGTCTCAAACTCCTGATCTCAGGTGATCCACACACCTCAGCATCCCAAAGGGCTGGAATTACAGGCTTGAGCCACCACGCTTGGCAAAGAAACATTTTAAATATAAATTTAGTACAGCCTAGTGTACAGTGCTTATGGAATGTACAGTGGTGCACAGTAATGTTGTAGGCCTTCACATTCACTCACCCAGAGCAACCTTCAGTCCTTCAAGCTCCATTCCTGGTAATTGTCCTATGCAGGTGTACCATGTTTTATCTTTTACACTGTAGTTTTACGGTACTTTTCTATGTTTAGATAGACAAAATAGTTACCATCATTTTAGAATTGTCTACAATATTGAGTACAGTAGCATCCTATGTAGCTTTGCAGCCTGGTAGCAATAGGCTATACCATACAGCCCACATGTATAGCAGGCTGTACCACCTAAGTTTGTATAAGTATTATACATTCTATGATGATCACACGATGACAAAATTACCCTAACAATGCACTTTGCAAAATGTTTCTCTGTACTGATACATCACTGTTCAAAAGATGTATATTTGGCCCGGCCTGAAGGGCATGGTGGCTCACACCTGCCGGCAATTTGGGAGTCTGAGGTGGGCAGATTACTTGAGGTCAGGAATTTGAGAGCAGCCTAGCTAACATGGTGAAACCCCGTCTTCCTGAAAAATACAGAAATTAGCTAGGCGTGGTGGCATGCCTCTGCAATCACAGCTACTCAGGAGGCTGAGGAAGGAGAATCAGTGAGCCAAGATTGTGCCGCTTGCACTCCAGCCTGGGTGACAGAGCAAGACTCCGTCTCAAAAAAAAAAAAAAAGAAAGAAAAAAGAAAATGTGTATTTGGTGTTCCTAAAGTAGAAAACACAATGAATGGAACAGAAAAAAAAATTCACAGATGTTTTCCTGAAATAAAAGATTTGAATCAACAAATCTTTATTTTGTTGAAAGAATAGACCATATTCCAGGAAAAAAACCGATACCAATTGATCATGGCAAGGTTTGCTAGTGTCTCTCCAGTATGCATTCTTCCTTCTTCCATAATAGTAGAGCATTTTTAGCTGAATTTGGGTCACCCAGAATAAAGACTATCACCCAGTATTCCTTGCGTTTTAGTGAGGTCATGTGATCAAGTTCTGTAGCCAGTGGGATTAAAGATTAATATGTGCAACTTCTGGGTATATACTTAAAAGGAAGAAATGTGCTCTTCCCTTTCCCTTTTTCTATTTGATAGAATATACATCAGAAGTCCATGTGGACAAAGGTAACACCCTGGGAATGGTGGAGCAACAAAACAGAAACATCCTGAACCCCTGATTATTTCATTAGAGCATTGTAGCTAAACTATTGTAGCTCATATTGTTAAATGAGAAACAAATACATCTATATTTTTCTTTTTTTTTCTAATTTTTTTTTTTTTTAATAGATGGGGTTTCACCATGATGGCCAGGCTGGTCTTGAACTCCTGACCTCAAGTGATCCACCCACCTTGGCCTCCCAAAGTGCTAGGATTACAGGCATGAGCCACCATGCCCAGCCCATCTATACTTTTTTTTGTTTTTTTTTTTTAGGTTTTAGACGGAGTTTCACTCATGTTACCCAGGCTGGAGTGCAATGGCGCGATCTCGGCTCACCGCAACCTCCGCCTCCTGGGTTCAGGCAATTCTCCTGCCTCAGCCTCCTGAGTAGCTGGGATTACAGGCACGCACCACCATGCCCAGCTAATTTTTTTTTTTTGTATTTTTAGTAGAGACGGGGTTTCACCATGTTGACCAGGATGGTCTCGATCTCTTGACGTCGTGATCCACCCGCCTTGGCCTCCCAAAGTGCTGGGATTACAGGCTTGAGCCACCGTGCCCGGCCCATCTATACTTTTTAAAGTCGCTGTTATTTGGGGTTTCTGTCTGAATTTATATCCTATATAATACAATGATTTGGGCCAGGCATGGTGGCTCACGCCTGTAATCCCAGCACTTTGGGAGGCCGAGGTGGGCGGATCATGAGGTCAAGAGATCAAGACAATCTGGCTAACACGGTGAAACCCCTTCTCTACTAAAAATACAAAAAAATTAGCTGGGCATGGTGGTATGTGCCTGTAGTCCCAGCTACTTGGGAGGTTGAGGCAGGAGAATCGCTTGAACTAGGGAGGTGGAGGTTGCAGTAAGCCGAGATCACACCATTGCACTCCAGCCTGGCAACAGAGCAAGACTCCATCTCAAAAAAAGAATACAGTGATTTTGACATATATTGATGAAGATGCTGAATTTCAGAGATAAAGAAGGAATTTTAATTGTATCCAGGTAAATTAAGCAAGTTCCATGTTAGAAGTAAAAGTCAGCCCCCAAAGTAACACAATCAACATCAGAAGACAAAGATGCAATGTCTACATTGAGGGAGAGAATAACTCAAGAATTTTTTTTACCCCATTTGCCCTTGAAGTATAAAGACAAAGATGTTGAAGCATACAAGAACCCATGAGACTTACATGGGTTTAAAGAAAGGCTACTTGATAATGAAATCCCACCAATGAAGGGATGACTCCAAAAACAGGAATGGAGAGGTCAAGATAAAAGAACAATAATGCACACCAGGTAATTTTTTTTGAGATGGAGATTTCCCCTTGTTGCCCAGGCTGGACTGCAATCTTGGCTCACCAAAATCTCTGCCTCCCCGGTTCAAGTGATTCTCCTGCCTCAGTCTCCCGAGTAGATGGGATTATAGGCATAACCACCACGACTGGCTAATTTTGTATTTTTAGTAGAGACGGGGGTTTCTCCATGTTGGTAAGGCTGGTCTCAAACTCCCGACCTCAGGTGATCCAACCGCCTCGGCCTCCCAAAGTGCTGGGATTACAGGAGTGAACCACTGCACCCCACCACACCAGGTAAATTTAAATACAGAACTGACCAGACAACTGTGGGGATTGTGGTAAAAATGGGATTTAAATATTATTAACCTTTTCTAG